AAAAACCCTTGAACAAAATATTTCCTCACCTGCAGTCACACCATGCGGCAGCGAAAAGATCGTCCACGAACCCCACAACCACTACATCTTCCACTTCCTCCTGAAAAATCCATCAATTTCCTGTAGACGTCGCCAGCAACATCCTGTCGTCCATTGCGCTCGGCAGAATTGCCAGACGGCGGTTTTTTTGAAAATGATTTTTGATAGTAACAATCAATCAAGTGAAATCGATAATTAATATACACTCTAATAATTCAATGAAATTATAAGATTATTGACTTGAATAATTTTACACTTGTCAAATGACGTAGTTGATGCTGTAATTTATCCTATTCTTGATTTTTTTTTCAAATTTCAGTAAAATAGCCTTGACGCACAAAATTTTTATAGTTGTGCATGAATTTTCCTACATTTTTCATAAATTTATATGAATTTTTGCAAAAATTCACGGAGGACGTGAAAAACCTCTTGAATAAGTAATAATAAAAAGTAATAATAAAACTTAAAAACAATATATTTTTCCACATCAATTTTATCAACCGATTCTCAAAAATGTTCTCAAAAGTATTATACAAATATCATTATTATAAATATTATAACTAAATTCCACATGATTTGTTTTATTAAAAAAATTAGTTTCTGAAGATCAAGAATCTTTTTATTATATCGTATCATATTATATCACATTATATTATTACCATTATTTGTATTGGTGAAGGAAAAAATGGAAAGAAACAAAATCTGAAAAGCCTATCTAAAATGATATGTATCTTACACATCTAGACAATTAAATAAACATTCTTAAAAATGTTTTAAAACGGTTGATGAATGAAAATGCATGTGTAAAAAAATGTTGACTCAGTAGTATTTAAAAAATTGGCGCCACCCCAGATAAATTTTTCCCCTGTATCGACCAATGACACGTCGTCTACAACGGAGGCCTCTGGTTGGCTGTCGTAACCGACTTTGCGACGCTCCCACGCACCTCTCGAAAAATCCTCACAGACATTCCCCTCTGTCGCCCCCGCCCCGTCCCTCAATAGTCTGCACCAGTAAGCGCGCCAGTCCACTTCCTGCCAATTGTATTATCTCGTGAAAAAAAAAAGTCTCTTATATTTCCCCGCGTGTCTACAACAATCGAAAAAAAACTTCAGTGATCCCAACAATCAGCCCAAAAAAAAAA